GACCGACACACAGGATGACTCAGGGAATCCTGGAGTCAAGTGTCACTGGTGGGGAGAGATCAGGCTGAAGGGTTACACTGACACCCTGGGCGCCGGGGTCAGCCCTGCAGGAACGCGTCGCTGGACAAAGACGACAGCGCAGGAATGTCTGGAGACAAGACCGTGATTTTACACTACGAGGGCGCGAGATCGCAGAGGGGAAGAAAGACTTCCTCCGTCTGTTACTGATCCACCTGCCGGCACCCCTCTCCCAGAGGGGTGGAGCGTGAATTCGGAATGGAGGGGGTGAGTCACACACGCCATAATGCTCTCTGCCCCTTTTACAAGCCTCTGCTAGTATATTTAGGCCGATCCGATTTGCTCCAATGATCTTGCTGCTTACCTTCACAAATTGTTCCACCCTCTATAACGCCACAGCCGTAGGCAAACCAACAAGCCAGATGGCGTGTCAAAAGAGCTCTCAATAAATGATCTGGCTAATAGCCCCACGATCAGTCCCTAGAAAGCCTTATTCAGCTGCGGCAACATGCATGAGCCGTGCTCATCCCTGTTTGAATACATTAACACTGTGATGAGAGGAAGACAGAAAGAGAGAGAGAAGGGTGGAGAGAGGAGGGGAGGTGGGGAGAGATAGAGGAAGGGGGGGAGGGTGGCCTGGTCAAGATTTTGAGAAGTATAAAGACTGAATTTTCCAACCGCAGAGAATAGAGGAAGTTCAAAAATGAGACACACAGAGAGATAGAGAGAGAGAGAGTTACTGTGTGCACAGTAAAAATGGACACGTAAAGTCATGAGCATGACCGAAGCTGTAAGGGAAATCTGGAGCCGGATCAATGAATTGGAAATGAATCGGTGCAAGATAAAGCCAGAGTAAATAGATCAATGACTTCCAGCGCAGGGTTGTAAGCAGTGGGTGTTTGTCACCCACTCTAGATGGAGATTTAAAAAAAAAGGCACATGAAGTTTTCTCCCTCCTCCAGCCTTAGGCGAAGCTGTGTTCCACTGCCTGGTGGGAGTTGTAGTTTTTACCACCAAAAATATCCCAACGAGCCATATTGTACTAAGTTAAGGGAACTGATGAAGCCAGCCGACACACTTCCACCATAATGTTCTGCCACGTTAAAAAGATAAGAAAAAAGAAATAACTGGTTGGCAGCTGGGATCAGGAAAGCTGAGGATCAGAGAGGATTCAGCAGAACATAAGAATGGTTCCGAGCAAGAGGAGGACATTGGGCCTATCGAGCCTAGTCTGGTCGTGAATATGACTGATCTGTGGAGCCCTTCCGTGAAGGAAGCCAGGCTACTTGCTTCAATAGCATGGCTGGCTCCACACTCCCGCCACCTTTTGTGTAAGAAACTGCATCCCCAGTTCAAAATGCACTTCCACATAGTTCGACAGACTGTAAATGCCTATAGAGGACTGCATCAGGTCCCCTCGCACAGTCTTTTCTGTTGAGGCCTAGAACGTTTTGGATCTCTCTGCCTGTCAGTGCAGGACACACCTTCATGCCCTGGACTGAACCTGGTTGCTGTTCTGCAATCCATTCAGGGCCAGTGTCAGACTGACAGACTGACACATGTACAGGCAGACACATGTCCAGACAGACAGACAGGCAGACAGACAGGCAGACAGACAAGACACATAATAAAAGGGACAGTCAGACAGATGGACCGGCAAGCAGATGGACAGACAGGTGGACAGACAGGCAGATGGACAGACACATAATAAAAGGGACAGACAGACAGATGGACAGGCAGAGAGATGGCCACAGGCAAACAGACAGACATGTATATACACATGGACAGACAGACAGATGGACAGGCAGGCAGGTGGACAGAAGGATGGACAGACAGGCGGATGGACAGACAGACACATAATCAAAAGGACAGACAGAGAGACAAATGGACAGACACCAGGCACGTGCAGACAGATGGACGGAGAGAAAGACAAAGGGACAGTCAGATGGACAGACAGACAGATAGACAGATGGACAGCCGGACAGGCACAGACACAGACGGGGGGGCGGACCTCTCAGTGGTGGGGTCGGAGCAGTTCAGGGGGTACTTGAGCTCGATCAGCGTGCCGTCCTTGTCCTGCAGGGTGCCGTGTTCCCCGGTGTAATACTCCACCAGCTCGGACAGCGTGGCAAACTTCTCCCCGCCGTACAGGTCATAGTAGTCGCCCGTGTTCTGGATCCGGATGTGAGTGACCAGCTCCCCAACCCTGCGCGACAGCACATTTTAGACAACATTATTCACGGGGCTTATTTCAGGATTTTGCCATTTTAGCAAAAGCAGCGCACAAGGGTTACCGAGCGAACCGCCGACGCGTTTATTGAAGAACGACTGGAAGATGCGCTTACAGACAGCCTGTCGCATCCAACAGGGCACGGCTTGCCCCGAGGAAACACGGCAGTGAGTCAAGCCCTCGGAAAAAAACGACGCGACGCGATTCCGTCTCCTGCAATTCTAGCTGTCCATGTCCATCCTTACGGGCCCGGCACATCAATAAACGCACCTCTGATCAGTAAGCGCCCAGTTTAAAATAAACCGAGACGTTCTGCTTTTTAGATTCCTATGGTTCCTACAGTATTTAAAAAGTCACCCGTCGAGGTCTAGGCGCTCAGGGACGGAAGATTGGCGTGGATTAGACTCGTGTGCTTCAAGAGTTTAAAAAGGGACGGATATAAAAGCCAGTTCCTTTAAGGTAATATTTCCTCTTCATGTAATAAGCTGTGTGTTAAGAGTGTGGCAGAAGTCAATTTACACTGAAGTACAACTGTCTCTCCGGCTAGGGTCTCTTTTTCATGCTTGTCAAGTTTATGGCCTCAGGAAGGTTGCACGGCAGAAATCGGTTGTTTTTTTTAATAGTCTTTCTACTCTTCAACGTGGAATTCACCTCTTCCAGCTAACCTATACACAGTGCGTGCCCACGCAACCTCGGGGCGCCAGACAGCGAGTTCATGGGAAGTCTACGAATGGAGGCGATGCTCTGGCCAATCTCTCTGTGCAGGTGTAGGTCTAAGGAGCACCTGAAATGGTTTCAGCGGGAGCGAAGGACCTTTTCATTGCGGTCTTGCTTTCTCGCCTTCAGCCGGTCGGGATCCAGAGATCTCTTTCCAAATTCCCCACATTGCAACAAGATGGCGGGCGCGGTGGCACCCAGCGTCTGGCCACCTTTCGACTCGCCGCGCGAGTTTCCCCCAACTGAACCGGATCTCGCCCCTTCCGTGCTTCGACGGCCCGACGAAGCGACACGGGAGAGGGGAAATAAAAAATTTCATCATCTCATTAAATAAATGACTACATGATGTATGTGGCCTAAATACGAGAATGCGGAGAGACGTTGTTGGAGGGTTTGATGAAGCGGTTTTTTCACACGTGGTATTTATATCTTTGTTTAGGGTTACGGCTGTTAAAACGTCGCCCACGATTAGTAAAAACGAGAGCAAGACGAAGAATAAACACTTGTCCACGATAGGTCCAGATAAAGATGAGCGGTCCAGATGATGTTATTCATTTGAAACACAAGAACACCTCGGATCTGGGGTGGAAAACACGTCAATAAAATGTGCTTAACTGTGCGTAGGTGGTCCAGGATTCGAAACCAACCTATTCATTTCCAACCACATCAAAGTGGCCCGATTTTGCGCAATGAACTTCAGCAATAATAGTAAAAGTGTCCGTAGTACTATAAAGCGCTGTACCTGCCGCAAAGCCACTATCCGTTAATACACGACTGGAAGAGGGTATTTTTTTCTAACTGAAATCTTGAAAAAATACCTTCCTGATGGCTTGATTAATGAACGTATTTATCAGGATTGGGTTTCTTATTTTTGCAAAACGCGTCTGAAAAATGCAGCTTTTTACATACACTTGGCTTCCAAATGCATGCATGCCCCCGACTGTATCGACTGAGCGCCGATTGTAGCAAAAAAACACATTTCAACTGGGCATTCTGCATGTCCCGCGGAAATAAACGAACACACGAAAAATACGAAATGATCTGTGCTGGCAGCCAGTGGGTGTGGAGATCATTTTTTGTTCCAACCTATTCATACCCTGTCAATGTGTCAACAATAAATGTTAAAAAAAATAAAACAAAAGAGAATGAATTTGTCCAAGACAGCTGGTAGTTTCACAAACCCTCATGAGGGCTTTGGAAAGTTCTGGAAATCACCTCTATTGGCCCTCAGTGTAAAAGGTAGATGAACAAAGAAACAGGGTACGCAGAACTCCAAAGAGAGTTGACAACAAGAAGAGGGCATTTAACTCAGGGGGCCCAATTTGGTAGTAGTTAATTGATCCAAAAACTCCAAACGTGCTACTTTACACAAAAAGGCTGAAATCAATATCCCGGTATTTAAAAAAAAAAAACAGCTGGATGAGATCCTCTAATCGGGACAGTAGGAACTACTCTACACAGAGGGTGGTGGGAGGGTGGAACAAGCTGCCATGTTGTTGAAGCCAATACCCTGGCGCCTTTCAATAAACTGCTGGACGAGCCACATGAGCTACTACTAACTAGCAAATGGGCTCGACTCTTTTCTCTGCCTTTTTTGATCCGCCCTTAAAATCTTTTCTTTTTTCGTTATCACTTCTCAAGAAAGAACGCCGCGTTCTGTGAAGCAGGGAGGCAGCCCTGCTTGGCCCCCGCGCCTTCCTGAGAGCAGACAGATGGTTTACTCACTAAACCACGCTGCTGTGACGAAAGACCGAAATTTCTTGATTGGCCGTTGCAAAAAACGCAATCAAACCTTTCGGGCCCGTCTGGCCCATTCCTCAATTAGTAGTTCAATTTGGCTGAGGATCTGATCCAGCCCTTCCTTCAGAGAAGCCAGGGAACGGCAGGGCCTGGCTAGTGCTCCACACTCCTGCCGCCCTTTGTGTAAAGAAGTGCCCCCTGGGCTTGAAATTTAAACGAGCCTCCAAAATCGCTGGCATGAACTGAGCCGAGTCCTGCCTGGAGGAACGGCAAGGAGCTCTTTCAGGAGGAAGGCTTGAACTGAAGGAGGCTTCCTGCTGTCCTTTAGTGTGATATCGTTCCCCGAGGAGGATGAAAGAAACACCTTTTAAAGAAGCAGGGGCTGTTAAACTGACGTCCAGGAGGAGGTCAAATTCTAATCCCTGTATCAATCCCCACCCGTAGGGCATCTCGGAGCCTCTCAGCCCCAACTTCACCCTCACAGCTGGCTCCCTGGCTCATTCCTGGTGACTGAGGGTCTGGGTGGAGGGTTTGTTCGCCCTGATCACATGGCCGACGCCAAGCACAGCAGCGTTAGGCCTGCCGTGGGTCTGTCCTGATTCCGGCCCCTGGTGTTGGGTCACTCCCGGCGCAGTGCCCACAGCGCGGGCGAGACTGCGGGTTACCTGACGGACAGAGAGAAGTCCCCCTGGTTCTTCTTGCTGGGCCGGGCCAGGAAGCTCCCGTGGACGCCCCTCGCTTTCAGGAGGGCCTCGGCGTCGATCCCCGAGAGGTCCCGGTGAAACCACCTGCCCGCGCAAAGACAGGGAGTCAGCCCGGCGTCGCCAACGCCCTGCCCGCCGGCGGGAACACTGCCAGCGCCCACACGAGCGGCAGCGCTCCTGAACACAATGTGGTGTGCACACAGCCAGCGTGATCATCATATACACCACGATCGCCACCTGACACCATTAACACACTAGCAGTATTAACACACTGACAGCATTAACACACTGGCACCATTAACACACAGGCACCATTAACACACCAGCATAGCAGCATTAACACACTGACAGCATTAACACACTAGCATAGCATCATTAACACACTGACAGCATTAACACACTGACAGCATTAACACACTAGCATAGCAGCATTAACACACTGACAGCATTAACAGACTAGCATCATTAACATACTGACAACATTAATGCACTAGCATCATTAACACACTGACACCATTAACACACCAACAGCATTAACACACTAGTATCATCAACACACTAACAGCATTAACACTCAAGCTTAAATAATATTCGAGCACCATTAACACACAAGCATCATTTATACAGAAGCATCATTAACACAGTAACATCATTCATGCACAAGCACCATGAACACACAAGCCGAATTAATACACGAGCATCGTTTATACAAAAGCACCATTTTCACACTAATCACATTCATGCACAAGCACACTTAACACACAAGCATCATTAACACACTAACCTCACTTCACGAGAGATCTCACTGGTCCTACTTCAACACACACCGTATTCATACACGGTCCATAACACACACAGCAACATCACTGGCACCACCACCCTGGGACTCGCACACAAACCCGGGCCAGAACTTTCTTCTTGGGTCTGCCCCAGTTCGTGCCGGGGGTCCTGACTGCCTATTTTATTATGGCCGGAGTGAGCGAATGCATGTCCACAGTCACATAACTAGCCAGAGTAACAACACCGTGTTCCCATGTACAGGTGGCAGAAACATAGAAGAAACACAATGATTAAGAGGAGCAACTACATATTAAAGTATTTCCCTAATACTGCTAGAGATCCTATCCTTCTAAGTTGATTTCCCTATGTAGTTGTTAAGGTTTTGTTCAGATTTTATTCTCTTGGCTTTTTAGTCAGCTATCTCAACACTCTGCTGTTAGGCCATGACGATTTTAATGAACTACAAGTCCCACGATCCTAGAAAGGCAAAAAACGCTACTATGCCAAACAGACAACATGGTGTCCAGGACTTGTGGGAAGTGTTGCTCTCTCAATCATCCCCTGTGAATCTCTTTTCATTTAATAGAAAGGCTTCTGATATTTAAAGGGCAAGAATTTCCTTGTTGTTTGGTCTCAGTCAATATAATTAATGCGAGAGAGTCCAGGTAACAGTCTACATTAATGAGCAGTGTGTCTCAGTTCAATCCAACATAATCTGTCAGATTGTATTAAATCACACAGCAGTGTTGATGCCGGAATATAATCTCTGTTTTTAACTAATCCAGAGCACAGTAAAGTCAGTACAGTAAAGCCTGGAGTTTCTCAAACTGTTGTGGCAGTATCAAAGTGTATCCGATTATAATTTCAGTTTATAACCAATCAAGATTACAGTAAAGTCAGTCCAGTCCAGAAAAGCCAGGAATGACTCAAACCACTGTCGGTGTTAATGGGGATTCGGATTATAATCTCATTTAATGCCTAATCAAACGCAAAGTGAAGTCTGTCCAGTCTGGAGGTATGCAGCGATCAAAAGCAAGGAATTAATATGCAGTACTTACCTAACCATAATTCAGCTCGTCTTCTCTTTTTTTAAAAAAAAAAAGGCCAGTTCAGAGAAAAAAAGAAAAATCATTTTAAAAATACATATTATAACAAAGGTAAAATGATAAAGAAGCTGTTAGCGTTAGTATATGAACGTAGCTTCTGCCTGTGACCCGAAGTGTATTCGGTACAATACTGCAATTTTAGAGACCATACTTCATCATCAAAAAATCCTTTCTCGCCAAATATCACAGAGGCCTCTGAATTGTATTACTATTATTATTATTATTATTATTATTATTATTATTATTATTATTATTATTATTATTACTATTATTATTATTACTACTACTATGACTGCTGCTTTCGATTCCACATAGTGATGCTTTCCTCTCTATGAATCTATTACTGTTATATATAGATTTAGATATCCTTACCTCTTTATATAAATATCTTACTGTCTCTTTGCACTGTCTCTCTCTCTCCTGCCTTTATAAATATTTCGGATTTATTTAGATGTTCGGTATTTATAAATATCTCAGTATTATGATCGTACTGTCCCTTTCTGTACTACGAGTGGCTCGTTCGATCTTCAGCAACCTATATATGTCCCTCTCCGTCTCTCTCGCCCTCCCTCCTCTCTTGTTCTGTCTCTTTTCCTTCCTTTTTTGCGGCTTCTTCAGCAAAAGAAAGAGAGAGAGAGAGAAGTGAAAGCCAGCTTTTGCAAATGACAGAATGGACTGAGTGGTGCAACCGTGTTACAAAGTGGAAGAGGGGAAAATCTACTGAAATAATCCACCCTCCCCCCCCCCACAGAAAAAACCTGCTTCCCAGAATGCATCGAGAACTTGGTGTTCGAGGCCGCTTCTCATTTTGGTGCATCTGTGCACTGCTAGTGGCCCGATGTCAAAACCTGCCCCTCTTCGGCTTTTCTCTTGTCCCTTGCCAGACACGATGCAGATCAAGTCCTCCACCCCTGAGCTGAAATACGATTATCCCCAACTCCTTACATTAGCTAGGCACCATCAAACAGATCTGCTCAGAGAGACACACCCCAAGCCACCCTGCAGCTGCTGCGAGTCTTCTGTGCCCTGTGATCAGGACGGTTTACTAACTTCTGCTGCTCCCCCCAACGCGTGCTACTATGATTGCAGAACAGCAGGCAGCTGATGTTGCACCAGCGGCATTGCAGTTGCTACCACTGAATTACCAAGTCTGGTATCGCAATCGTCGCTTCTCTGACTGCCGCCGTCATTGCTGTAGCTGAGATCCTTGCTACAACTCGGGCTCTGCTACCGAACGCGACAATGTCACTTTTGCAATGACAGTTGCATGGGCCGCGGCCTGCTCTGAATGCCCCGTTTCTCTTGCTGCAAGCGCTAGTGCTGTTACTGCTATTCTCCGCTTGTCTACTGCTGCTGTTGCAATCACTGCTCTTTTGCCACCACTGGTGCTATTGCAAAGAGCGTTCCCTGTGACTATACGGGCATAGAAGGGGAACTGTAGCTCACGTGACTCATGATGGTAATAATAATAATAATAATAATAATAATAATAATAATAATAATTACAGTCTGGTCCGTGGTCCAGTGGAAGGAGTTTGAAATCCTTTGGAGAAAACTTTTCGCTGTCAGCGATCTATCCTTCCTTCTCTCTCTGTCTGTAATCCCTAGTCCACGCACTGTCTTCACCTCTCCGCAGCCCCTCGCTTTCTCAAATCACCTCTTTCCCCTCCGTGGCTGTTAGAATCCTCCCAGAGATGTTCGGCTTTCTGTGCCGCCTGGTGCACAGCATTCAACTGAACTAGTAAGAACAAGGCAACTTCCTCATTGTCACAACCCCCCCCCCACACACACACACTTCATCCTCTCTGTTTCTCTTTCCCTAGACGCACATGTGCAGAGATGAGCCATGTCTCTCTGCCTGCTTGCCAGCGGATGTGTGTGTGTGTGAGAGAGAGAGAGTTCGTATGCGGGGCTGCAAGCGTTCACTTCTCTGTGTGTCAGTGCATGATCCGTGCCTGCAAAAATAAGTCTGGAAATGTATTTATAAGCCGCGCTTACATGCATAACAACTATTTAAAGCCCTGCGCATGCAGAAATAAATGTGTTCGTAAATCACTTTACAAGTCTGTTTACAGTAAGGACTCAAGCCAAACATATACAGACAGACACACTGTGTTCTGTACATGTGGTACATACAGTGTGTATGCAGAAATGCATTATATACTTTACATGCAAATAATTTAACTGTAACAAGAACAAAATCTCATCAGACAAAATCGATTTGATGCAATAAGGAGTGTGTTTCAGCCAATTTGTTCCCAAATTCAGAATTAAAACTCTTTCAAGCTAGATTGACAGTCCTTAAACTGCAGCTCCCACAACGTCCAACAAAGTCAGAGTCCATGGAGCAAGATGGGAAGGTTTACAATCATCATGGGCTTTAAATATATGTAGAGGAGTGATAATGAACAGGAAGAAGAACACAGCCCATGACTCTCAAAGCAGGAGACTAACTCGGCCTGACTGCTTACGGTTGAGCTTTCTGTGAGTCAACCGACAGTCCAGCAATCATGCAGATAATAACTAGTTTGTGCAATTGCTGTCACAGAGAGGAAACAAACTGTTCCACTGCTGAAAGCACTTCCCATAGAAGAGAGTGAAAGTGAGGAAGAAGCGTGTTTGGAACCTGCTATGTGCCGCCCTCTGCTGGCACGCAAACTACAGTGTTGGACACAACCTCTCCATCTGCCTGTGTTGTTCTCCAGCATTTCCTCTTTTGAGTCCCTAGCACAGTCTAATACTATCACTGTACCCAACCGTGTGGCTCAGCGGTTAGGGTCCAGGATTTATAACTAGGAGGTTGCGAGTTCAAATCCCAGCCGAGGCACAGCTGAACTTCTCCAGTGAAATACACAGCTCTCAATGGGTACAAATATCTGCTGCTTTGGATAAAACCTACACACTGATAACTGTGTGAAAAACACACTCTACACATGCAAGTTCTGTATACCAGGGGTTGCAAACTCAGTTCCTGGAGCTCCTACTACGTATTTCTGTTGTTTGTGCTCACATGAACAGTCGATTGACCTCGTGGGTTTCGTACACAAAGGCTTTTTATTTTGGACCTTTTACAGCCGATTACTCAAAACACTCACTTTGCTCACCAGAAGGCACGGTTAGACGCACATCAGAACAGAAGAGTATTGCAACCATGCATTTAATTAAAAAAAATACACCAACTACCTGAGAGCCCAGATGAAGAGACACTGGACACTAGAGTTTGAGACTGATTGTGCATACTTACTCTGTACACACAAGGAGTACTGTATGTACATAGTAAATACTCAAAGTTTCTACTGTATATAGCCTATAACACTAGTAGACACACTGTATGCAGTGTTTTTACATGGACAGTAAATAAGACAGCTGAGCACAGTATATAAACTGTAAGACCAACATACACTGAATATAGTCCTTACAAACCCTTACAACCCTGCTGTGTGCGCGCATAGTACAGTATATACACTCTCTATTTACATATCGTAGCACAAACATTGCATACTCGTTACAATGTCAAGTAAACACCAATAGGTTTCAAGAACTCGTCTACAGGAACTGGAGAAGTATTCAAATCAGTTGTTTTTGTTGCCACAGCAACTAATTTGAATACTTCACCACTGTAATCAAATTAATTTTCATGAGCAAACGTGAAACGGTGTGGTCAAACAATGAAGCCTTATTTCTTATGGGCCCACTGATATACAGGCTGACTGATATGCAGAACAGCTGATCAACTGCTTGAATGAATGACCAAGCCCTTCTCTGCCACACTGAAGTACTGAAAGATACTGCATGAGTGATCGACAACTGACACACTGACTCATGAACTGACACACTGACTCACAGACTGACACGCTGACTCTCAAAAGGACACACTGACTCACAAACTCACACACTGACTCACAAAATGACACACTGACTCACAAAATGACACACTGACTCACAAACTGACACACTGACTCACAAAGCGACACACTGACTCTCAGACTGACACACTGACACTGACTCACAAATGGACACACTGATTCATGAACTGACACACTGACTCTCAAGCAGCCACACTGACACTCTGACTCACAAAACTGCCACACTGATTCACAAACTGCCACACTCGCCGACACACTGATTCACAATCAGCCACACTCGCCGACACACTGATTCACAAT